AAGTGAAAAGAGTTTTGATGTTTTCCTTTGATGCCTCAAAATAAATTTAAGTAAATGAGCAGAGTAGTCTCTACCTAACAGTTTAGAAAGGTGCAAGATGAAAAATCTAAGGCTGGCCAAAAGGAGACAGCCTTGCTAGACAACTTTTCCAAACCTAAGATCGTGCAAATTTTAGCTAAGTTTGTTTATGGAAGCGTCTGAGTCCCAGTGTGTCTTACCTGTTTAGTTCAGAACTTGACATAATTTCCAAATGGTCCATTTCTTTTATGTCTAAGAATTAAAGCCGCTGAATTTTTTCCATGGGATAACATAAAAGTATCTCTATATATACACATATGCATATACAGAGTCTGTAGAGTTTAATCCAAAGATATGAAATTATACAAAATTTGGATTTAAGTAATTAATTCTTGAATGCATATTTGAAAATGTCAGCCTGCAGAGAAAATTGTATTTATCACTTTTTTAATCTTTGGCATGCTTGCTTTTCCTAAGTAGTTATTGCTTTCTAGTTTTCAAATGTGAATTGTAAAAATTTTTGTATAATTGGGTGGAACAAGTCAGAAAAAAAAAGTGGAACAAATGTAGAGGTGAGCATCGCATTTAGCTCGACTGATTTTTTGTCCTGAGAGAAACAAGAGAAAATGAAACTAAAATCAATATTTCTGCATGGCAGCTTACATAGCAACAGACAAATTATCTCCTACCTCTACAAGATCATGCTCTTAATGGATTGTGTTTCAGGGGTCTGACAGAGTTATATTTTGCTTTTTACCTTTTGTAAATCATCTTAAGACAGCCAGCTACTCCAGGGGTCTCACTCTTGGCACTCTTCTTTGGTGTATGAACCAGACTACCAGTGTTCTCACTTAGATAAAAAAAACCCAACAAATCTTCAACCAACCAACCAACCACTCCCAAATTCAGAAGAAAAGCATCAGATTAGTGCTTTTACAGCATCTGAATAATAATATTGTTTCCCAGATTGAGGAAATAAGCCATTAGTTTACTACTAAAGAAGATAAAAATGTGCTGGTTTTCCCAACTCCTGTAAGTATACCATGTCTTTCTTGGGTACATTAGTGCAGTTGAAACCACTGGAGAAGATTTCTATGAACTTCACTAATCACTGCATATGTGTCTCCTGAAAGCTTTTCTTCAGTACTTTTGTTTTGTTTTAACTCAAAATCCTAGGTTTAAAAGAATTTAACAGTAGTGAAGCTTAAGAGGGAACACGTTAAGAAAAAGCTCGACCATCCAATGCCTGTGTTTCTCATAGGTCATGGAAAAAGCAAGGTTAATGCAGCTTAGCCTGCAAGGAAGAGGGCTGTAGTGACTCAGGTTATGCATGATTGCTTACTGAGCTCTGATAACTTGATTAGGAGTCCAAGTACCAAGTGTTTGCCTGGAAATTCACCTTTTCACAGGGCTCACTTTCAAATAAAACCACTTGCAGAGACAATTAAGTATGGACTCAAGCCTGAATGTTTTAACAGCATGAATATTTGTATTAACAAACGTGCTTTGGTCTGGGTCTTTGTATTTTAGATTTTTAGGTTGTATCTGAACTCTGTTTACTGGAGGTAAACTGAAATGAAAAGTCCACATGTGTTTCCTAAGAATGCTTTACTTGGATTTGTTCTTCCTACTGTGTGAGGTGATGGCAGATCCAATAGTTTATATGGTGATGTCTTTAAGGAAAAGCACATAAAAATAGTCAAATGAAAGAAAGCAAATTTCAAAGAGTTGGATTTAGTGTGGGGTTTTTTTTTACTTTTTTTCATTTTACTCTGAAGATGAAAATGATCCCATATGGATTTTTACTCACATCTTCCCCCACTAGAAAGCAGATCCTTGTGGAATGAAAATTGGCTTAAAAAACTGAAGTATGAAATTCAACTTTCTATACATATTTCAGATTTCAGGTTTTGCATATCCATGTAGCAGAAATAGTAATTTGACTGAATTTCTCATCAGAAAGTAGACCTTTAGCAATTCAAACTTATACATTGCAAAAGATAGCTTTCTACAAAAAAGCCTCACCAGATTCAACAATTCTTATAAACAACTATTACTACCACTAACCAGTTTTAATCGTTTTCCTCACACTGATGTTTAAAGCTGAGGATAATATGCCAAAGAATGAAGTGTGGAATCTGATTTGAGAAGCAAAATGTAAATAATGCTTAAAAAAATATACAGATTCAGGGATGATTTTCTTCTCATTAACTCCCAACCACCCAATTGTAGATTCCACAATGACTTGGGTCATCCAGACCTAAGGATGGAACAGACTTGTACTGGGACACACAAAACCCCAGGGAATCAAAACGTGCAGCTGTAGAGGTTCAGATTTACCCAGAACAAAATCTACATAATTTTACTTTAATTCCAAAGGTTTATTTTGTGATCACTGTGCACAGACATAGTTGATCACACACACTTGTGGTACTCATACAAACACCACACTGCAGTACCTCATCCCAGTGTCACAGACAGGAGAAGAGAACGTGGCACCACACAACACTCACTGGCAAACACACAGGCTATAGACAATTTGATACATTCAACAAGAAAAACCAAATGATAAATTGCTGATATTTTCCATTTTATCCTCTCATTGCTGGAGAAACTATAGCAACACAACAATGGAAAAAAACTTTATGGAACAACTTGAAGAACAACACGAAACTCTCATTAGGGTCAGAGATGAGAAAGTTATTGCAGTACTGGCACATCTGAAACTTCCACAACGCAAGGCAGAGGACACTGCAGCCACCTTCCCTGGCCAGTGAGCAGGGCCCTGGCCATTCGGTCTGGAGAATGGAATTGCTTTTACCTTGTACCACAGGTGGCAACAAACCACTGGGGAGATGTGGAACCATCATCCCATGGCTCGTTCAGTCTGTAGCAGCTTTCTTTGCGGCCACACAGGAAGCGTGTGCCCATCTCAGGTAGGGCAAGAGGTGGGTAAATGGGATGGCAGAAGATAAAAACATGACCCCTTGTTAATGTTGTACCAGCCCCTTGAGCTGTGTAACAGGAAATTCTGTTGAGCCATCTCTATCCACACATTCAGACCTAGGCTCCAAATGCAACTGTAAGCAACTGTAAGATGATTTTATTTTGTTGCAGAAGCCCCATAAAACTGCCATATCAGGTCATCATGATATTTAATTGAAGTTATCCATTTTTAAAAATGTCTAGAATGAACATTAATGAACAGCACTAAGTGCTAAATTCTTCTAATTCTAATAATAATGGTTTCCAATCTTGCCACCTTGACTCAAAGCAGATTACATCATACCGTGTTAGTAGCCCTAACTGCAATGTAATTGTCAATCTGAATGAGAAGGTCTTAATTTGCCAGGCTCACCCTGCAGGCAGAAAAGGAAGAATTTCTTCCTAAAACTGTCTGGAGGGGTGGCATTCACACTCATTTTTTACATAGCCATTCACTTAGCAAGACTGATGTAACTCATGGAATAGGGAACTAAAGGCACTGAAAGATAATATTTTCATTTGCTATATATAAAATTTTGTAAGTGCTTATTAAACAGACATTTTTCTTCAGTTTTCTCCACAATTAGCTTCTATCTATGATTATCAGTTTGTATAATCCTGATTCACTCTCTCTCTTAATAGTAGCACCAAACTCATAAATTTTATTTTTTCATTCTTAATTCTCTTTCTCATACATATTTTCATTTTCTTACTGCTGTACCCCTATCCCAGTAAAAAAGCATAAATTCTGGTATAAAGGCTTACATCAATTTTTTTTTCTATTACCTAGTAGTAAAATTGCCCTATTAGGTCAGCTTACAATGTGTGCAGTAAATATGCCACATACAAATAAATCACAGTATAAAACTATATACATAATTTAGTAGTAACAGCTAAACATTAGGATCTCTGATTTTAATTTACAGTGTAATTTAAAGTGTAGAACAAAACAAAAACCAGCTTATCACTTGGGGAAATATGAAAAAAACCCCAGATATTGGAAAACAATTCTCCATCTTATGTGTGTATAAATATAAATATATAAATATAAATCATGGAATCACAGAATGGCCTGGGTTGGAAGGCACCTTACAGATCATCTAGTTCCAACCCCCACCATTGGCAATGACACCTTCCACCAGATCAGGTTGCTCAAAGCCCAGTTCAATCTGGCCTTGAACAGTTCCAGGGATGGGGCATCCACAATGTCTCTGGTCAACCTGTGGCAGTGCCTCACCACCCTCACAGTGAAGAATTTCTTCCTAGTATCCAATCTCTATCTACCCACTTTCACTTCAAAGCCACTAATATTAACCCACTAATTATTAAAATATATCTATACTTGGAATATATATATATTCGTATATGTATACATATGAATAGATATGCAAATGTTCTTATAAAAAACGCTCCAAATGTATGGGTTTCTGGATTAGTAAATATAACTTGTGGAAGCAGTTGGCTCTGCCTACATGCTGCACTTTCTTCTTGTGTCTTACTCCTACCTGAGAGCAGCTCTAAGACTTACTGACTTTTCACGTAAAACAGCTATTTAATTTAAAAATGCTCATTACCCCTCAGCCTCCAGGTACCTAAAAGGATCAAGAAAAACTATTATCAAAATTGCAAACTGCAAAGATGATGTTCATTTAAAAAAAAGTCCCATGAAAGTTCACCTAACCACTGAGAGCCTGCTGAGTTTTCCTGTCATGAAATTAAGAAGTTTTACAAAGCACTAAACAGCTTAGAAACTTATTAATGTGAACTAGGCCTGGAGCTTCGGAATTTAATGCCCAAATAAAAATTAGTGTTTAAGTAAGAAATAGGCACCGAAATTCCTTTGGAGGGATCTGAGTGTTAAGAACTAACAGGTCTCAGAGAAATTTTGTCTCCTAAGACTTACTTTAAAAGGAATTTGAAAAGAAAAGCAAAAAACAAAACAAAACAAAAAACCACAACCGCCTCCCAGCCCCCCCAAAAAATCAGAAAACCCCAACCCTTGGAACACTGCATGTTTGATTTTTTGTTTTAATATTATGCCCTACGCATACCACCAGAGTTTTCTCACTTCATCATGAGGTTTAGTTTTTTCTTTTCATAGTAAAGCTTCTGAGTCTATTCTTAAAAAATAAAATTATTTAAGTATATATCTTCAGAGAAATGTAGTGCCAACAAACCCAGAAACTGTTACTATTACTAGTCAACCAGGATTTGCAAGAGAGACAAGGAAACTCATCTGGACCCACAGCTGCCTGTTTGTGGTAAGGTGGGACATGTTCAGAAAATACAACTGAAGGTGAAAATAGCTGGAAAAGGAACGGGAGGTCAGGGAAGTGTCATGAGTCTTCTTTCAGTTCCTCAGTTCTCACGTGCAACCTGAATGATATCTTGGGAAATGTGGAGAAATATATGCTGGTGACATTTTAGGTTTGCTTGCACTGATCCTTAGCAGACCCCCACTGGGATCTCTTCCCTTTTCCCTGCTACCTCCTCCTCTTCCTGGCTACAGCACACACACCTCCCTGTGAGCACAGGGGGATGCTCAGCCAGCTGCTGCTCACAACCCTGGCTCCCCACTGCCACTTCACTTCTACAAGTCCATATTCCCCATCCCACTCACCACAGCACCAATTTCACAGGTGCCAAGAAAACCCTGTCTCTTATTTCTTTAATCAGTTGCTGCTACTACATGCACTTAGTGCCATGGTCTAGTTGGATCAAGGGTTGGACTTGATGATCTCAGAGATCTTTTCCAAGCCAGTTGATTCCATACTCCTGCCTCTCATTGCCTCAACCATCACCCCAGCTGCTAATGAATTTACCCATATTCGCTTTAACCATATTCAAGGGGGAATCAGTTCATGATGCCACATAAAAAATACAGGTTGTGCACCGCTATAAATGAAAAGAGCATGTTTGCCCTCATCCCCTGAGAGAGTATCCTGATTTTACACAATCTCTTTTTTGGTTTCCCCATTGTCCACTGAAGACGTGAAGTCAGATTCTTGTTCTGCACTCGATTTCCTCTCCCCTGCGTAGTGGTTCATTTCTTGCATTTCTAAAGTTACTTTATTCCTTTTGGCAAATGCCTGGCTGATCTCATGAAATGTCTTATTTTTTGTTTCAGGCAGGACAAAAAACAGGTAGGTCGCTCCCGCAAAGCAGATGGCAGCAAACACTAGGAAGCAGTAGGTCTGTAAACCAGCCTGTGAATAGAAAACAAAGGAGATAGTCATGACAAAAGGGAAAAAAATCCAGAAGAAAGGCAACATCAGGAATGATTTGAAAGAAAAAATGGGGTGTATGGAGCAATTTTTAACCAAGCACAGTACATACTGGCACTCGTTGCAAGTCAGAGTGCTGAGAAGTTCATAAAAATGCATGAATTGTTGGTTCTTCCAACACTGCCTGTGGCCTGTCGACAGAAAAGCAGGTTCCTGGCAAAGGCGTGTGGAGCTGCAATCTGGGCGATGCCGGGAGACACCAGACTGAGCTCAGGCACTGCGGGCACGGGGTGGCAGCAGGGCTCCTGAAATGTGCTCAACAGAGCCTGGAACTGCTGTGGCATTTGTGGAATTGAGGCAGATGTTTCACTGGCTTGTTCTGCACACTGCCTCACAATTCCTAGGTACAAAAACTGCTGCATGCTTCTGCGATATTGGGTGTCTGTACACAACCCATCGAAAAGCTGCCATTGCCAGGGGCACCTTCATCACTGTAGTTACAGGCTTTGAGATTTGCAAAATGAACAAGATAAAAAACCCAAATGGTAGACATTTGTATCACTCATAAGGTTATGGGAGCTTACAGCAGGAAAAAAGAAATCCCTAAAATGCGTTTACTTTCATGCTAGAAAGTGTAAGAATTAAGTGAAAACAAAGTACGGACCGTATTTTAATGTTTTGGATTTTACTTCACTGCAAAAATAAAGAGAGAAGGCACAAAGAAATTAATTTATAAATAGATTATAAAGGCTCCAACCAACTAATATGAGTTGTACTTCACTGAAATGTAAATATTTCTTGCCCGGTGATTATTAAATCATTTCAATAGTTTTCAGTTACCTTTCAACAGTACAGTTGCGAAAAAAAATTTGATAATTACAATATTCAAGAAAGCTGTGCTTTGTTGAACTGCCACCCTTTGAGGAAACCTCCCTTCCTCCTCTATGGATTTACACTCCATTTTTGTCCTGAAACCAAAAATCCATTTGACTTTTAATAACAAGCCTGAATGAAACCAAAAAGGGTATCTCCAGCTCCAAAAATAAGGTGACCTTTCTGTGGTGCCTTGTGTGAACAGCAAACCCAAGGAGACCTGGATTCCTTGCACATAACCTCAGGTGTTGCAAGGCTGAGGTTACCCCAGGGAAAATCAGTCAGGACAGAGGAAGCAGATGTGGCTTCCTAAACATACGTGTTTATAGATGCCATTAGAGGTATGTAACTGAAACAATTAAGGCAGAACTAGACAATGATGCAACCCTGATTTTGCACATTTTTGTAACACACTCCCATCATTGTTGGTTACACCAGTCCTACACTGCAGGCTGGTTTAGCTCCCTGCTTTGGGTGCTCATGGTGTATGCAATTCCCAGCATTACTTTTATGTTTCACTTGCTCAGTATACATTATACATGGTGTGCTAGAAGAACATCAATTCCTGTGTGAACCAAGAAACTAAAAATGTAAAAAACCTTTCCTGCAGCTGCTTTTTAATACCATGGCTGATTGCCAGCCTGCCTAGTTAAAGTGTTTTCTGTTTCTGTGGATAATTCACTACCTAGGTCAGCCTTTTAAATCCTGCCTGTAATAAGGAAAGCTGGAAAGTGCATGCTCTGATATTGTCTATGGACTCTTGAGATCATCAAAGCTTTTTCTTTAAATTCTAGAAGCATGAAGTTCTGAGCAACCTGACAATCACAAGACAAACAGCATGAGTGATGTGGGGGGAAAATATTCTGGCATGGGAACAGATAGAACTTTCAAGCTTATACAGAGGCAGAAGCAAATGGATATAGTAGACAGGAAAAATGATTTCGCAGTGCCTCATCAATCATCCTCTTATGTTAAGAATTCAAATTTTACATTTGGATTTTCTGCATCTATAATTGTAGTTCAGCTGGATGGTAGAGTTTCAATCCAGAATCATGTTTTTCACTTTTTAAAATTTTACTGAATTAAATATTCTCCATTATGACAATGAACAATTAATGCCTCGAACAAATAAGCCTAGCAAACAAATGCAATAAGTTATCTGCATCTCTTGGTGGTGCAGCCACAACTTCGTTCCACCTTTTTTATCCCTCTTTATTTCTTTGCTGTCCAGGATCTAAATAAATTAGTGTTTATTATCTTTTTTGATTCACGTCTCTGTAAACCTTTTCTAATTGAACTGAACAGTCTCACGAGTGTGTGATTTATTTGCAATTATTTTACATTTATTGGTAATAAATATACTCTCCTTAATTTCTGCAATCCCTTAAGAAGTAGTCCTCAAGAACCTCAAGAACCTCTAAATGAATTTCCACAGAGAATAAGATAAAAATTAAATTTTGTTTTAAATCCTACAAGTGGAGATTACAGGATTTATACAAGACTGTGCACTTGTGCCAGCAGGATTTGCCCAACAAAGCCATAATTCCCAGATAGCAGCACTGCAGGGTGTTGCACACAAAGCCCTTTTCTCACCGGCCAGTCTTCAGTGACAGTATTTCCTTAAAGCTGGTTATTATTTTACACTCACAGGGAAGGAAACCACTTGTATTCATAAAACTTTTGTAACTCATTCAGAGTTCAACTCGTATCACCCAAACCTGCATTTGGCACAGAAGAACATCACACGTTAATTAAATTACTCGTTATAGGCACAAAACCTTCTACCTGCACTGCACACTGATAAAGGATGTAGGACAGAAGTACAGGATAAAGTGGAAGGAAAATGTTAAATCACAAATCCTAACTCAGTAAAAGCCCTTAGAGGGACATGAGGGGGATACAGTTCAGCCTAGATGTTTAATTCATTTTTATCTATTTCTGATATATTTTGAATTGCCTGGTGGTGGAGGAAAGATCTGAGGGGTTGGAACAAGCAGTAGATTGGCCAAAGCATATTGGATGTGCCCATCAGGGGGTTCAGAAGGTAAGATAATGTGATGGAAAAACATTAAATGCTGAGTTATTGAACAATGGCTACTACAGAACAGGTACTGATACACAGATCTGACAGAAAAATGGATCTGTCTTTGTTCCATGAAATGACTATACTTTCTCTTATTTATGTTATATTAGATATTATTCATATTATGCCCAAGAAACCTCTATCCCTCGTTTATTCTTTGACATCTGTAACCTCCATAGTCTCCTAACTAATCCATAGTCTCTCTTCGTTATTTTACTCCTTCCAACTGTGTAGAGATGAGACACTCCTGCTGCTACTCTGGAACTAAAACCCCAGAGTTTTACTGATCTTGAGCTGGGGTGGGAGTAAAAAAAATGAGTAAGAACTTCAACTAAAGTCTTCCGTGACTAAGTCCAGATATGCTGCAACTCTGTGTGTTTGGGCCAACAGATGTGGTCTCAAGATTTTTTTCTGACACGTGCACTGTCAATGATACAAGAATAATGACAACGTGTATGATAAAATTTAAAAGGTAAATATTGTTTCTATGCTCTGTGACATTTCACTAACTACATGGGGTTGAAGCCTCAGCGTTCAAAAACTTGAATACTTGTATCCACCAGAAGAGTAACTCGACTCCTTAACAAAATATACCACACCCAAGGGTTAAAAGCAGAAGGGAATGGCAGGGGAAGAAGCAAAGGCAAGCCAATTCCGAATGGAAGTTGTAACTAAACACACAATGAATACAAGGGAAGTATGTGGTTTCTGCTACTTCTGTTTTCTCATGTAAGGACTGGTTACTTCCTCACACTCAGTTCCCAGCAGGAGCAGCATCAACCCCGGCCACGTGAGAAGCACTGAGCCAGCCCCATCCATGCCCCCCTGCCACATCCATTCGGGCAAGTCTCTTCAGACAACCTGTTCTGTTCAAGTTCAGAACACGCTGCCACCTTCACAAAGCTGCTTCTCCTCCCCCAACACCAGAAAGGCTTGCCAGAGCTAGGAACACATTTTCTTAGCAAGACCTGAAGGCATGATTTTACATGCACCATGAGAAACCCCAGGGTCAGAAGGAAGACAGAATAAAGCGCTACCAACACTGTGCTTTGCAGCCATTTTCACCCAACATTTCCTTAAAGCATGACCTCCTACAGGAACATCCAAGGTTCAAAGGTGCTTGAAGTTTCAGGTGGTTTCCTAAATAACAACAGCTCTGTCTCTTGATAGATAACCATTCAGAGCCAAGGTCAGATTGAAGATCGTTGAAAGGCCAGGCTTCCGATGGGTTACTGAAGGTCACCTCCCCTCCCAGGTGCATAGGGGGGGGCAAGAGAACAGCAGACACTTATTGATGCAGTCTCCTGAGGGAAGCACCTACTTACTCAGCAGGCTAATAAAACCTCTTCAAAGCAGGATTTACATTGGATTTTTCAAGGCTGATGAGGGCTGTTGTTATACAGGATATTTAATAGTTAAGCATAAACTTTTAAATGCTTCACTTTCTATTTGCATACCAGCTTTCTAAGGAGACCATTTAAAACACAGCATTTCTGCAAATGTCCAGCCAGCTGAATCCTGAACTACTCACTTTTATTTTCTCTTCTATCTTCTCTTTTCTGCAGTTTATCAAGGCTTTGCATTTGTCAAAAAAAAAAAAAAAGAAAAAAAGAAAAAGGAAAACCAAGAAGTGATTTACCTAAGACACACATACTATTACCACAAAAAAGCATCAAAGGTGAAGGAGTTGGGCAACCCCCTCAAATCAGACTGCAGACATGGCAAGCAATCAGGCCTGACTTTGAGAAGGATTAGATATAGCTGCATAAGGAAGGTATATGATTAAGTAGGTGCAGCTCTGCCACATTTTCACAAGGAAAAGGTTAACAAACATATTCCCAGCTTGTGTGGGGCTGCTACGCACATTAGGCAGAATGTACAGGCATTTCCTCCACCTTCCTTTAAATAAAATGGTAAAGAATACTTGATTTTTGCTATTGTGAACTGACTTTAAGTGCCCAGAATGAACAAGCAAAAGAGTTCACTTTTTTTCAAGTTAAAAAGTAAACTAAAACAAATAAAAACCCTAACATTGAAATGATCAGATTTCTGATTTTGATTTCAAGAACCCAACACTTTACCACTTTTAAAGTCATCTAGCTGAGAACAGTCTTCCTGCTAATAGCTTACATGCTGTGAACACCATAGTCTGCAAAAATCTAAAAGTAGTTGAGAGGAACATCATGACGTGCTATTTAATGATGGCTGCTTACAGACCTAACACATTCTGTAGCAAAGGTTAAATTCTAAGCAGGACTGTGATACTGGAAACAGCAAAATAGATATTCTAGGGCAGATATAGCAAAATTAATGAGCAAATCAACAAATTCTGAATCAATTTAAAAACTTAACACATTAATATTTTTAAAACAGAACTTCTGGCAAATGCCAGATGTGATCCTAAATTCTCAGTTTGCAATGTCACAGCCCCTTGGCACTGGCAATGGGTGCTTGCATTTGGAAGTTGCCATGAAGATTAGAATCATGAGATGGGGGTCAAACAGGATATTGAAGTGTTGAGGTCAAATGATAATGGTTAGATGTCTTACAAAAATGATCAGCAGCAAAACTGTTATTCATGTAGGCATTCGACTTTGCTTTGAATTGATATAATCCAGTGAAACAAATGGATGAGAGAGTATGTGTCCTTTACCCTTTGTCCTTCTTCAGTTCCAGACACAATTTAAGGTTCTGCTGAAAGTGCAGGACAATGAAGGACAGAGCACTAAAGTATAATGCATGAAACATATTTTCTAAGTAAAAAATAGATACATTTTTAGACATGAACTGCAATTTCAATCACGACCCTCACACATTCACTATCTCCTTATAAAAAAGTTAACAGATCCTTATATTTTATACCTGAAGTGGGTTGCTTCTAATTAAGAGCATTTTTTTCTCACATCTAATCTTCTGATAGCCTACATTTCTTTTCTCATCTTTGAGGGGAACTTTAGCCATTTACCTTAATATGGGGGCACTGTAGTTAATTTAAACATCTGATGTATTTGAAAAAGTTTAAAATAGCTTGGCTGAGGGAATCTATGCATAGGCTTCTGTGAACACACTTGTTATTCAAATTCTTATACTGCATAATAGAAAAAGTCAAGGGATATTATTATACAGTAAGGAAATAATAAGGAAAACCAAAAGACAATCTTGCTGAGTAAATGACACTTGAGGCACGAGAAGGAAAATATCAAGTGTAAAAATAAGGAAGAAATAGAGCAGAAGTACAGGAGAGCCTCCTGTTTAGTAAATCTTTGTATTTACACAATACATTACAAAAAGTGAACAGAACCTCTTTCTAGATAACATGTAATTTTTGGTCCCACTACACCATTGGATTACAGAAATCTGTCCCTCCAAACTTACCGTTAATGAAGAGTACTAGTTTAACACAAGCCTATTCTGCTGCACCAGAGGTTTTCCAGACTTTTAGATTACACTTTTCTGCTGATGTCCCCTCTGCCTGCTTCAGCTCATTGCACCTATATACATACATTCTAATTTCTGATTTATCAAGTGTCCCTGGTCAAACCTCAGCACCTCAAATAGGTAGTTATGAGGGCTGGAAAAGTAGCTACATTTAATTTTTTTTATTTTTTTTTTTTTGATTTGTCAAAAATTTATTTGTATACTAGCTTTTCAATATTGTCTGTACATTTTAATGTATGACTCAAGGTACAGTTTTATTATATTTATCTACAGATGGTTGAAGGGCAAAAATCTAGGCATTCAAATTAGTTAATTGGTGACATTTGGAGAAGTAACTACTGGTTGATTTTTTTAGTAACTCTAAAGTTAACAGATTTGTTTCTCAAACATTTTTGATAATTTTGTGGAAGGACACCAATGATCAAAAAAAATGGCTGCTGTTTCTCAAGCAATCAGGTTAGTATTTAAATACTTAGACAGGATTAGGCATTCATTCTGTGAATGAATTTTAAAGGGTTTTTTTCCTGGTTTAGATTTATAAAATGAGCTAAGAAGAGGATATTGCCTTCCTGTAAAGAAGAGGATATTACCTTTCTGTAAAGAAACAGGTGACTCATAAATTGAATTTTGAGAATAAGGTTGACTGAAATAGAAAAAAGGGAAAGCTCGGGAAAGAGAAGATGTTCTAGTTTGATCTTGTGAAAAAGCTTTAAAATCAAAGTCTGAGTAACACTGCTTTCATCTCGAGGTGCAAACTCTAAACTTTTTCTCTTTTTTATGTTCTAAAGACCAAAAAAACAAAAAAAAACCTTCAAGCCAGAAATATAATTTACCTTCATTAAAAATAAACTGGTTAATTTTGTAATCACACAACAGGATATTTTTATGACACATAATGATAAATTCCCCAAGGTTACTTCATTTGGATGCAAAATCATTCAAAAAGCTTTAATATGCACATGGAAAATTAGAGAATGTAGTTTTCCTTTTTATTTGAATTTACTGAGGGTCTTTTTTAAACAGTTCTCACCAGGTGATCTGTCAGGTAGGATTAGCAGGACAAGAAGGGAGTGTTGAGTACCTGAATGAAAGGGAAGAGCAGTCCGACTGCGAAGTTGGAGAGCCAGTTGACTGTTCCAGCTATCATGAATGCAGCTGGCCTCTGGGACTGCTGGAAAAACTCTCCAGTGAGGACAAATGGAATGCCACCTGAAACACAGAGTCCAACAATACAGTGGTTTTAGTAAACTCCCCCTGCCATCAGCAGTTTGACTTACAGAGATGAATGTGCTCCGTGTTGCACACCTCCGTGACCAGCATTGCTCTGCAGCTCTCTGCTCAGGTGTATGCAAGGGCTTCTGAGACAGTAACATGTGATTTGTCAAAATCATATTTCAGAGAAGTGACACTTCTCTCTTTCATGCCATAACATCTCATGTTTTACATTCTTTTCAGGGATGGCAAGCAGGTAACAGAGCAGTGAATCCACACGACTGCTTCCAGAGTACTATGTGACCTGCTGTTTAGTAAAAATAAGAATGCTTGTTTCTACTAAAATGCTTGAAATTCTGAAAATTCAGAAATACTCCAAAATACTTTTAGACCTTAACAGTTGGGAAGATGGCTCCAAACTAAACACTATTTTTTTAACAATTATTACCCATTTTATTTCAGCAATAAAAAAGACAAAACATTTGCCTCTCTCTGAGTGTACTTGTCATCGATGCTTATTTAATACATTCTCTTACTAAGATACACTGCTGGCACTTCTGGCAAGGTCTGTTTCTCCCATCAGCCAAGGACTCTGACCTCCATAATAACAAGCTCAGCTTAATACCACATTTGTCACTCATGTTTCCTTCCACTTAGGCAGTGGACTATTTTGTACAGCACTGGCATATTGCTGGCCTGACAGTAACCCCTAGGGAGTAGCTGTCTAGTAGATGGAAGTCTCAATTTATGATCTTTGGCTTCTTTCATTCCCACTGGATATTTCAAAAGAAATATTTCTATTTTTAGAGAATAAAACATGGATTGTATTTGCTGATTGGCTACATATTTCAGTTAACATTACATATTAGACATGTATCTACTTGCAGAATTGTCTCACTACGGTTTGGAGAGCTGTAAACCTAGTAACATCAGTATTCTGACTCTACCAGTTTCTACCTCTAGGTCCTCATGTGTGCTGGTATTACCTATCTCACCATTTAGCTTTGTAGGCAAAATCCATGTACACATGTACTACATAAGTCCTTTCTCTGTTTTAAGCATTTTAACAAGTTAGTGTGAACAATCAAAAATATTCTTATAGAAGCATTTACTTTCAAAAACCTCTGTAACAATCCTGATTTACAAAACATATATAAATTATGATGAAAACACCACCAAAGACTTATCCAACCTGGTTCTTCTCCTTGCATGTCCTTGCTTGATCTATATGCTCATCTTTTACACAACAGTTACTCTTGGACATATGTGAATACATCTCTAAGTGCATTATAGCAATGCATTGCCCCTTGTGCTCTATGGCACTGAGCTTAAACACACACACCAGAAGCTGTCCTACGAGCAGTGTGAGATAGGCACTTATAAACACGTTAGATGACACGTTATCAGATATTCTTTCATTCCACATCTTTCAGATGCAGAGACCATGAATATGTGCATAAAAGAAAGGCAAAGGCAATGTGATGCAGCAAACAGCCGTTCTCTCTCATGAGCTAATGTGACTTTTTGTGAGAACATATCTAAAGTATTAGAAAAAGCTTCAACTGAACTTTCTGTCCCAAAGACTGCCAGTACAAATTACACCAAAAAAGTAGAGAGCAAACAAATGTACTTTATACATAGGAAACTGAAATATGGATAGTTTAAGCCTTCCAAACTGCAGCTTTGTGTCTTTCTACAAGACATATGTAGTATCAGAATGCTGTGACTAAAAAAATTAACCTCTCCCAGCAGCAGTCTGAACATGTAGAATAAGCAGCTGAACATGCATAACTGAACAAAATTCAGGCAACGTTTGGTCTAGGAATCCTTGATGGCTTCCACTGGCCATCCTATCATATACTTGGGATTTGGTTCAAATGGCAGCAGTCACACATGTTCTGTCAGCATCGGCTTTAGGTCTCAAATGCCATGAGGTAGCAGTTTTCCAGGACCCTTACCCCTTGCTGAGAGGAACTGAAGGACTAGAAACACAGAAATCATGTAAGATGACTTATTTATGATCATTTATTCTGTCATGCCTTTGCTGTAGGACAATCTACAGAGGTGTTGCTGTTCTTGTCAGTATAATAAAAAATGCTGTTGGAAAATGCAGTTGGAAAAATACACATTGTACAAGAGAGGAAAAAAGCCAGAGGCAGAAAAAAGAAAAAGAAAAGTACAAAAGAACAGAAACTTATCAGAAAGTATAAATATTATGGAAATGAAAATGCATGGGCACTATCTTGGAAAAGGGTCCTTGAAAAGGTTCCTTGAAATTCCAATGTAATTTCTAAGAACATATTAGTCATCACTAACTTTCAAAAGTTCTGTGGAGGAATGGGAAGGCTGGCACAGACAGACCTCCTGAGTTTCTCAGGGCATAGACAGGCCTATCCACAGCATCACAAAATAAAGTCAGTTTCTGTGGAGGGATGACTTAAAAAGGTCACATGGATGAACCAAGGAGCCTGTAAAGCAATACTTGAGTTATGTGAAAGACAGGTCAGGTCTAGAAACATGAGAAACTGGATGAAGCCAGGCCATTGCTGTATATTGCTATACACCTGGAAGAGCACAGACTTGACCTTAGGAGGATGAAGAGGAGGGCATGTGAATGCCTGCCAAGGACCATACCACTGTGAAGAACACACTCTGCAACTGAGTGAAGTGGAAAAAGAAATTTGGATGAGGCAAAGGAAAGATGAGTTTAAGACACAGCCAGTGAAGGCACCTGAGATCAGCTGAGCCTACAGCCCCGGGATTCCATGCTCAGCCATTTCAAGCTGTCAGAGACGTGCTCAAGGTCTTCCTTCCTCCTGGAACTTACTGTTCTTTGAGATACAAATCTGAGTGCATGGGGTCGAAAGAAGCTCTGTTATGCTTTGAGTGCATAAGTTGGATCTGGGTTGCAGAAATCACAATATTATGGCATCTTACCAACCACTCCTTACAGAGTCAGTCTCTGTGCAAGGCACCCTGTATAATCACTAGGCCAGATGGGTCCGTACTGGCCTCTGTTCAAACGTGGATGCTTGGAAACCACTGCCAAAAGCAATCTAACCAAACCACTGTATTTTTGGAACAGTCTTTAAACACTTTTTCATGAGTTTTGCAGCTTTAACGTGTATTTGAATGTGGGTGAAATAATTCACCGAAAAAGCTACCTGACGATCTTTCTCATGGAGGATGAACCTGGCATTGGCATTTCCCCTGGAAGGCTTTCCAAAGAATTTTAGCTTTATTTTAGCTCTGATCACAGAATCAAAATTGTGTATTAAGATTTCCTGTAGGAGTTTTTCAGCAAGGTAGCTTCCAAACAAGAATTTAAAGAGGATGCATTGACCCCATAATTATAGTGATTAATTTCTAATACTTTGTTCTTTTCAGCATTGCAGAGAATATAATGGAAGAAGCTCTTAACATACTGCAGTGGTAGTAAAGAAAGATTGTTATACCTGTTAGCAAACTACATCTATTGGAAACTACAAATGTCTTATTGCAGGACTTGTATATCAATAAGCTGTTTAATGAAAGGAGATTAAGCACATGACACAATTAGACATGAATAAATACTTCTGAATCTGTGTATTTTATTAATTTCTCTTTGTAATTAGTCTAGTGACATAGTGTCATGTACTGGTAAAAATCCAAGCTCTCTACCCTGTATTCTTTATGTATGAATTTGGAATGTTAGAACAAAAAAATATTCTTGGTATCCATACTACAGATTTTCAAATATTATTTAAATTTACAAAAGTATCAACATATTTTCTTACGAAAAATGAAGTACACATATTTACCATTTTGTTCAGTGAGCATTTACAAATAAATACTGCTTAGCAGAAGTTACATGAATCAGTGCAAAAATCTGAAAACAGAAAGCATGAAAAAGGAAGGAAAATTCTGAACTCCTCATTCTATTTTTATCTAGTACCTAAGTGGAAATTGAAGTTATGGTTATATATATGATTTATGAAAGGAGACCATTAAAAGAATAAATGCCTAATACAAAGGAGATTTATTACAGTGGTAAATCACCTCTAAAGGTTCTGGAAACTTTGTGCTCTAAGAACCAATAAGGAGAAAGGAACTCTATCCCTGAGCTAGCAGCTCATCTTTCAATACCCACCCAAGATAAACCTCTGTGTGTTCAGGCAGTGGCAGCCAGAGGGTGTCCAGTCCCACCAGCAGGACCACCCATGGCCACCCAGCCTTGTGACCCCCTGCACGACTCAGCACCCCAAATCCTGCCCATACAGGAGGGAGTCTGGGAATCCCAAGAGTCTGATTAGGGCAAGAGCCCCCAGACCTTCCAATTCCATGCTTTGAGAGGAATCTTCAAAGGGAGATGTTTCAAGAAAACAGACAACTACTTTGCAACAATGTTCCCCCCAATGTTTTTTTGGGGAAAAATAAGTCTGTGCAGTTCTAGATATGATCAAGCAAAATGGCTTTTGTCTGCAAGGCAAGGCATGTAGGGAAGGCTGGTATATCCTAATAGGGTTGGAAGATAAAGTACTGTCTCAATTAAAGGTTTTGCTATTTGTAAGTGCTCTCTAGAGTGCAACTGTGGGAAAGAAGCAATGGAAGTGAGGCAAAAATCCTGGAAGATAACTGCTGGAAAAACAACTCAATATTCTTCAGTGAGAGAGCAAAAGGTTGTTAGTTTCTAGCCAGAGCCTAGCTATTAAAAAACCCCAAACAAACAAAAAAAACCCCAACCCAACCAACGAACAAACTCCCCAAAAGTCCGTGTCAAATCCCATAGGAAAATATGCTGCAGGAATACTGCCAGTGAGGGATGCAATGCAACTACTGAGTTTCTTACATCTCTGTGGGTCTAAAGATAGGAGAAGAATTTTGCAAAATGCGTATCTCAGTCTTTATAGAGGTGTTCTGTCACCTGTTGAGATTATTTTAACTTGTACTTTGTATTTGATAGAATAATACGCCACCAAATCACAACATTAGTCAGATATGACAACTGTATTGCCCAG